CACACACCCCCTCTAAATTACGTCTTGTTTTCCTCCGCCGATCTCCAGCAAAAGCGAAGGGATGCGTTTGGAGGGAGGCAAGGGGAAGCACCCGCAAGTCTCTCGGTTTCTTTTTAGCCCATTTCCCAAAGAAGCGAGGCCTGCGATGGCAAGACGCGTGGCTTTTCTCACTCCAGTTCTGAGTATTTTGGGGGGAAAAAAGGGAGTAAGGTAAAGGAGAGCGTCTCCATCTTCCCCTGCCGCCCCACCAGTGCTCTTTCAGGCAGAGAAGTGCCACCAGCACCAGCAGAGAGACAGGGTGGCACAGACCCTGCAGGGTCCCACCGTGGAGGTGCTGGGACGTGCTGTTTGAAGGCTTGGGTTCGGATCTGCGTGGGCAAGAGAAGGAGTTTCCCTGGCGCCTTCGTGGTGGACGAGTAGCCTAATTGTCGACCTGAGGCGAAGCAGTGGCCGGAGGCAACAGACTTCAGTCCAAAAGAAGAGGAGCGTTGCCTGCAGAAGGTGAAATCCTGGTGAAAACCAAGACTGAGTGATTTTTTCAACCAAGACTGAGTGATTTTTTCAAGACTGAGTGATTTTTCCCCCCCAAGACTGAGTGAGTGATTTTTCCCCCCCAAGACTGAGTGAGTGATTTTTCCCCCCCAAGACTGAGTGAGTGATTTTTCCCCCCCAAGACTGAGTGAGTGATTTTTCCCCCCCAAGACTGAGTGAGTGATTTTTCCCCCCCAAGACTGAGTGAGTGATTTTTCCCCCCCAAGACTGAGTGAGTGATTTTTCCCCCCCAAGACTGAGTGAGTGATTTTTCCCCCCCAAGACTGAGTGAGTGATTTTTCCCCCCCAAGACTGAGTGAGTGATTTTTCCCCCCCAAGACTGAGTGAGTGATTTTTCCCCCCCAAGACTGAGTGAGTGATTTTTCCCCCCCAAGACTGAGTGAGTGATTTTTCCCCCCCAAGACTGAGTGAGTGATTTTTCCCCCCCAAGACTGAGTGAGTGATTTTTCCCCCCCAAGACTGAGTGAGTGATTTTTCCCCCCCAAGACTGAGTGAGTGATTTTTCCCCCCCAAGACTGAGTGAGTGATTTTTCCCCCCCAAGACTGAGTGAGTGATTTTTCCCCCCCAAGACTGAGTGAGTGAGTTTTCCCCCCCAAGACTGAGTGAGTGAGTTTTCCCCCCCCAAGACGGAGTGAGTGAGTTTTCCCCCCCCAAGACGGAGTGAGTGAGTTTTCCCCCCCAAGACGGAGTGAGTGATTTTTCCCCCCCAAGACGGAGTGATTTTCTCGAGCAGTTGCCTCAGCCACACAGCTGTTGGGTGCGTAATGTGAGCGTAGCAGCTTCCCAGCCTGGGTTTTATGCCTGACGTGCCTCGATGCTGTCTAAGAGCCCATCCGTTCTTGGCGTCTGTGGGCATCACCGCTTGCTCGCCAGCCAAAGGCACGCTCCGTTTGAGAAGGAGGGTGGGCTGGAGACCTCGTGAGGCCCCCTCCGACCTGAACGGGCCGGCGGTCTCGCCCGGGAGGTACCACACCTCCCTCTGACCCACGGACAGCAGCTCTTCCCCGTCTGCGTTTACGCTGGTGACTGCGGGGGACGCGCGATCCGCGAGGTTACCTGCGGAGACGGGGACAGTTTTGCTGTTTGCCGAAGCGCCAGGCCGGCACGTGCCGGCACCCGTCAGCCCGTTGGCAGTGGTTTGACTGCAGCTTTCCCAGCCAGCAGAGCAGGGAGCGAGGAGTAAACCGCAAGAGAAGATTAAAGACCGGTGAGTGGTTTTCATTGGCCGTCTTAAAATTGCAGCTCAGTAATTAAGGCTTTAGGCAGCTCACAAATAGCCCAGCTTTCTGCCGGCTCGCTCGTTATTGCGAGCCTGTGGCTGCTGCGAGGAGCTGGACTTTATACCTTGGCTGAAAGGGAGTAAAAGCAAAAGGTAAGGATGCGTTGGAGCCCACTGCCAGCCAGCGCTCTGCCCGCTCCTCTTACCCCTTCCCAGTTTGTCTGGGGTTGAATGAAATGATTGTAGGTGGTTTGGGCAGCTTTAAATTCCCCTTTTCCTATCGGTGCCCGCCGAAGGGCGGATGAAATTTTGAAGGGGGAGAGAGGAAAGCTCTTTTCCCTCCAGCTGGGATGTGAGCGTCCTGGCTGGGATCTGCAGGCAGGGACCGGGACTTGTGCGTCCGGAGCAGTTCTTGTCGGCACAGCCGGATCGCGGTGGAGGGGAAGCCGTGAAGTGCCCGGACAGAGTCCATGCTGGCGTCCGAACGTCACGTGCGGGGGCTTTCGGTGGCGGCCGAGGAGGCCGGCGCGCGATGAAGGAGCGTGGTTCGGGAGCAGCCGTGTTGCGAAGTGCGCCGGGATGACTGGAGGGCGATGAACTTCGTGTAGCTCCCCTTTCTCTTCTGGAGTGTTTCACGAGCAATGGCCGGGGCTCACCCGTTTTATTTATGTGGGCGGGAGGAACTGGCAGGGGCAGAAGAGAGGGGAGATGCTTTGGGCAACTCGGCAAGGGCCCCTCTGCTTCCTTGCTGCGAGCGCTGAATAGCATTTCACCGGTGAGAAGGTGCGGGAAGGCGTGCTTTCCTCTTTCGGTATTGAACATTTATATTTATATTATACGATATTGAACAATATCACCGGTATTTAGGCAAGACCGGTGATATCTGGAAGTTATCAAAGCTCAAGGGCTAAGGGAAAGGTAGGACAGGCCCCCAAAAGGACTTCCTAGAGTTGGTTCAGCCTCGTGTTTTTCGGATGATGGAGCCTAATCCAGCGGCGTGGCCGTGCACGTGCGATGGGACCGATCCCCGGAGAATGGCTGGTCCTGCTGGGTCTCTGGGGCTGCGGCACCTGGAGGACACTAACAGCAAAAAAAAACCCAAACCCCCAAAAAAGACAGTTTCCTTTTGGATGGTGTTTGAACGTGGGTGTTTTTACGCCCACGTTAGCTGCTGCTGGCATCCACTTAAACTTTGTGTATTAACACCCCATCCTTTCGTACAGGCTTGGATAAGCTCTGGTCAGACAAGTACGAAGCATCCTCGGGGAACGGAGGGAAAACTCGTATCGCTTGCTAGCTGTAGTGCTGCCGGATAGGCGTCTGCGTGATCGCAGAGCTGTGCAGGAGGGATTTAGGGATAAGGAGGTATCCGGCTCATGCGGGCTGGGGTCAGGGAGGCAGCGTGGCTAGATTAGCCTGCTGCATGATCCGTGGCCGACTTTGTAAGAGACAGCATTTGGCTTAAGGCTGTTGAAGAAGTGATTTGTAAGGTCAGGGTGACATTGCTACAGTCTAATTTAAAACGGAAAGGCATTATGCTGTCTGTCGGCTGATTGCTCCTGAGGCCACGCCCAGCCGATGGGGTTAGAAAAATGCATTTCCAGGGGCTTTAACTGCTTGCGGAAACTAATTGTTTTTAAATAGGAGAAACAGGCTTGTTTGATTTGTCCCACTGTCATCATCGCCTCTGGTTTAGAAGCAGCTGAATTGCTGTTGATGGATGAGGGTCCCCAGCGGTACCCCCTGCACTGTCGTACAGGATTTTCTTCTTTATTCACGTGCTGATAATTAACCTTTCTTCCTCCCCAGAGAGGCAGGCACATGAAAACACCCAGTTTTTTCTTTCTGGCTGAAGAAACAACTGCAGAAAGGTCTGTGTGGCCCCAGGCTGCCTTTTTTTTTTTTTTTTTTCCTCTACCGGGAACCGAACCCTTCTTTCTTGCCATGAGACACCTTGAGCTGGAGTTAGTGCTCCAGGAAGTATGGAAATAAACCCCAAAGCATGCTCGTGTCCCAGATCACACCCGTGTTCAGACCGCTGTTGCAAGGCATTGGGGTTTAGTGCTGGAGGACTCACTGGGCTCCTGGGTCTAGGCTTCAGTACGTTGTCTGCTTATGGCAAAGGCTTTGCGTGCGGGTATTTATCCCAGGACTGATAGGAAACATTGAACTGTCCATCGTAGGCTCGTAGTTTGTACTTGTTGGGATGTAAATGGGCAACACAGGAGGTGTGGCGGTCCCACGGGCATCCCGTCCCTCGCTCGGAGCTGCCTGTGTGTAACGCTGGCTGATTTCTGCCCTTTGTCCTTGCCAGCATCTCCTGCAAACGCTCCTTGAGGCCTCTCCCCGTCAGAGGGAGGCGGCTGTGACTATACCCCTGTCAGTCAGGACAAGTATTAAGCTGGCGTTGCCCAGTGTGTGTGGATGTCCCATGATGTTTCCAGATGCCACCACGTACAGACAGCATTTTCCTCCTGTTAGAGAAAGTTTTCCCTAGGATTTGGGGAAAATCCCAGAGGGACCCGACCCTGGTGACAGAGAACAGAGCTGGCTTGAATTATCCCGGTTTAGTGGCAGGTGGAGCCCAGTTTCCTCCTCCTTTGGGTTAAGTCCTGTGAGTTTAACCTCAGTCCCTTGGGAACGGGTGTTCACGCTGCAGTGATACATGTCCTTTATTTGTCCGAGGTGTTTGTTCCCCGGGTAAGAATTGGGGCCGACGGCAAAGCAAGGTGAAGCTGTCCTGCTGCATTGCTTGCGGCCTCCGTTGTCTGCTTTCCAAAACGATACCCGAGTCCTCAGGGCTCCCAGCCCGGATCTTTCGCAGCGGTAGAGAGGTGGCAGCTCCCGCTGTCTGCAGCCGGTTTGCTAATTTAATAGTTCTTTGAATTTCCCCGGTATTTCTGGCACTCTCAGTTGCTTCCTATCGGCTCTAGGCTTGTGATTTCTCCTCATTTCAGATTTGCCTGCAGAAACTTGTGTCTGAGGGTAAAGGATAGATGCTGTTTTGTGGGGACAAGCACCACTGGGAATCCATAGCTGTCTTTTTCCATGGGTGTTTCTAACCAGACACGTATTTTTCTGTCTCTAGCTATGCAGGGACCGAGACCAGTGGTTCTGAGTGGCCCGTCGGGTGCAGGGAAGAGCACTTTGTTAAAGAAATTGCTTAAAGATTACGAGAACATCTTCGGCTTCAGCGTCTCCCGTGAGTATCCGTATGTCTCTGGGGAAGGGCAGTGGAGGAGTTCAGGGCCGCTAGCCCAGAGCCTGCTTCTGTGGTTGTATTCATACCCCAAATAATGGGCTTCTGTGGCTTGCCTGTGTCCTGGTCTGTCTGTGGGCTCTTTGGGATGTTTAAATAAGTCAGGATGCCTTTTACTACTGGTATTGAGTGGCAAGGCTAAGATTAGTCTGGGCTAGCACCCTTTCCAGGTCTGGTGACTCCCCACACCGCTAGACACAGCTCGGAGAGGTGACGAGATTTTTTTTCTGAGTGATTCTTGACTCTGAAAGTAACAAAATCCCCACCACCACCTCTGCTTCAAAAGCCAATTCTTTCCGTCCACCTGCGGGAGCCGATGGGGATTTTAACAGCCCAGGGGCTGCACACCAGACTCTCAGATTTAAAATCGAAGAGTTTTCCTGAAGCCCATCTCGTTAGTGGGTCGGTCAGTGAAACAGTTCGCCCCATCACCTGCGTACGTTCCTCCTCCTGCCATTGCTCTGGTGGTTTGTTGACTTTTTCTACGTCGGTCACTAAGTGCTGGCCAAGGGTCCTTTTTTTTTTTTTCGTTTTTTTCCCCCTACCTGGGATGGTTCCCTGTAATGTGAAAATAACCCCTGGCCGGCCGGCTCGATCCACTCACACCTGCCTGCAGGCCGTGCTGAAGTCCTCCTGCGTCCACCGCAGAGTAAGTGCAGGGAATTTCCTTCAGGCAGCTTGCCCGTTGCAACACTAATTTTGTTTCCTTTTTCTCGAATGACACCGTAACGGTTACCCTCGGAGGGTGGGCTGTGTCCGCAGCTCATTTGCCTGGCTTTCCCTGGAGCTCTGCAAGGTGTTTTTAAGTGCGTTACCAAAAATTTTTTTTTTACTGTCCTAATGCTTTGGATCCCGCAGGTAAAATCCTTGCTTTGAGATCTGTGAGATGCGGATTCATTCCACCACGAAAGAGCAAATACTGGATGTTTAAAAATTTAATGTTCCTGGAGATGAAAAAAAAACCTTAAAGTTACCTTTCCTTTCGTGTGCTTCATCTTATGCTCTTGATTCAGCTGAATCTCTCATCTCAGTCCAAACTAAAACTTAGCGTTTTCCCCGAGGTTGCCTCTTGGTAGGTATTTTTTTCCTAAATCTCCATAGGCCGCTTAGGCCTTGGCAGCTGGCGCTTTATAAAAAACTTACAGGTGGTCGGAGCCTCGCGGTTAACTCCTGCCGGTCCTAAATAAAATAATCGGCGTTGCCCTCCACGATGACCATCAGCTCCTTTCTGGTTTCCAGAGCATGTGCTTAAAATAGTACCGGTTTGAACAACTTCCAGCAGGGTTCAAAGGCTGTCTGGTTTATTCACCTACCTCGTGCAGGGCTTTGCCCGTATTTGTTAAATCTGGCTATTTTAAGCGCCTATGTAGGTGCTGCATGATCTTTTACAATGAAGATAACTCTGCGAAGTAGGGCGCCGCTAATTCCCCTGAACTGAGGCAGAGGTCCGAATAACGTGTCTAGGATTACGCAGGAGAAGGCTGTAGCAGAGCTGAAAACTAAGCCCAGCCTGGTAAGTCCTGCACTTAAGACCGCTCAGCCCCATAACAGTCTTAATTGATTGTTTTCAGATAATCTAGGATTCTTCGATTAAAGGCCAGTCCTGCGTGTCGTTGCGTGTTACGCTAGCTGGTTCCAGAAGCTTTGATCATTTTAAATAGAGGATCAGCTTTCTACGTGATCGGGTTAATCTGCTGCGTGCGTGTTTTTATTTCTTTGATGCTGTTACTTCCTTGGGTGACCTACACAATTTCCAAGGCTGTTTTTTTGCTTACAGATACCACAAGGCAGCCAAGACCCGGAGAAGTAAACGGCAAAGGTGAGCGTGTTGCAGTTGGGCCTGTCTCGTCGGACTCGGCAAATAATTCCTCTGACAAATGTTAAGCTTTTAGGTGAAGCGCGTGCATGGATCCCCACTAGCAGATAAGTTAGTTCTGCATTCGTGTTTATAGGGTGCATTTCCTTAGGCAGACGTTCAGTGATGATATATCTGAGAGCGTGTATGTAAATGTGTATATAAATGCGCATACGTACACACACTTCGGTTCTTTATCTCGGTGGCAATGAGACCGTAGCCGTTTACCGCTGTTCGGCAGCACGTGTCGTGTGTTGGAGAGAAGATAACGAGGAGGGACGGACTTGGCAGAACAAAACCAAAATGGAATTAAGCGGTGAAAAGTTAACAGAGGCAGAGCATGTGCTGCCAGTTTTCTTTTCTGGACGCCGTCTCTGCGACTCGCTGGCCCAGGTTTTCAAAGCGGGGCTCTCGGTTTAAGCGCCCTGGTCCCTACTTGGTCACGGAGTGGCGTGGTTTTCCGAAGTGCCAGGTAGCTCTGGTGAGGTACCTCCAATGCGCGCTGCTTTGGAAGACGCAGCTGCTTCATGAGATGCCTTTATCTGTATTGATAGCTAGCGTGCAGCTGGCCAGCTGCTTTTCTGTTTTCTGGTTTGTTTGCATATTTCAGAAAGAATCAAACGAGGTTTGCGCTTAATTTCCGACGGCAGTTTTCACTCTGAAGGGAAAGGGAGGAATTTTAACGAAAGATAGAGAAACATTCCTTTTTCGTTCGTTTGGTTTTGATGTTCCCTTTTATCTCCCCCTCTCTCTCTCTCATCCCATTCTAGTCTTTAATCATAAATGTTTTCAAATTAAGGGCCTTGGCAGTCCTGCTGTAATGTGTTCCACACCTGTGGGGAGCCGGGGGGAGTTTCCCACTGCACCAGAAAGGGGAAGGGGTACGAAAAAGGCGGTACAGCAGCATGTCTGGCCGCACAGAAAGCTCCAAAACATTTTGAGCAAGTGCCTGGGCAATTGGTGTGGAGAGGGGATGCTGCTATACAGTAATTAGGAAGTAGATATCTGCAGTCTGCCAACGTCGTCCAAAGGAGATTTTAAGGGCCTTCCCCCCCTAAGCACCCACGGGTGTCGTTTTGACCATGAACTTTACCTTCAAAGCTGTTAATTTCTGGCTATTTTTCCTGTTTTCCCTATCCAGATTACCACTTCGTGACCAGAGAGGAAATGCAGAAAGAAATTGATGCCGGTGAATTCATTGAGCACGCGGAGTTCTCCGGAAATATGTACGGGACGAGGTACGCAGTTCAGACGCTGTCGCTGCTCAACCAGCTGGTGCCGGGAGCGGAGATGATGGTGAAGGAAAACAATATTTTAACCTAGCGACAGTGTTTTCCCCCAAACAGGCAGATTCTTGCCATAAGCAAAGCCTTTCGTTTTGATGGTGGGGTCCTTGTCAGCTTTATTAAGGCGGCAAAATTAACTCTTGCAAGGAGTTAGCTCATCCTAATTAAATCATCGTTGCGTTCTGAGCGTCTCTATAGCCTCCAGTGTTTGAGGGCTGCTGAAGTAATTCATATGCTTAATACTTTTCTTGCACAGGGGTGATTTTTCACAGACTATTTACGCTCCTTAATATTTTCCAAGTGCTTGCAGAGAATAGTGGTCAGAATGGAGACTTCCTCCCATTATCCCTGCGTTACCTAATGGTCTGAATACGACGAATTCAGGAGCAGAAGTGATGATATCTGTATTGGCTGCTGTGAAATAAGTGCCGCTTCGGTAAAGCGGCGGCTTACGAATAGGTAAATCGCATGGCACCCTTGACTGGGGTTAAAGAGTTAGGTGGATTTTAAAATAGCATTGCCCTGGGCGTTGGAGCTGATGATCAATGAAATGTTAAGCTGCAATGTTAATTAGAAGTCAGGTATCCTATATAATTATTGTGAGAAAATTGTGGCACTATAGTAAAGGACCTGCTAAGGAGGAAAGCTGAATGTTTCCTGAGATTTTTAATGAGTTGCATTAAAGAAATTTGCCTGAAATGCTTTTCAGGAAGACTTACGTTTCTTAAAGAGCCGAATGTCCTTTTTTGAGGATTTTTTCTGGAGATGGCAAAATTAGCTCCTGAGGATGGTTTCCTTATGGGAGGTGCCAACATAAGGCCCCCAGACCGAACGTGCTGTAGGTGTACGGCTCTGAGGGAACGGTTGGTGATTTTGCATTTCAGTAACGTCGCTGTTTTGATGTGACGTGCGCAGGCGTCGCTGCTCTCGCCGCAGCCCAGGGCAGCCTCGCGGGGCTCTGGCCACGCTCCCTCCGAGGCTGACGGAGAAGCACAGTCCCCTGCCCTAGCCTTGATACTTCCAGTGGCACTGGTTTGGCAAGAGAAGCGGAACCTGACAGCTCATCTTCCAAAATAGCCAGCACCAAAGAGAAACTGAGTTCAAGCTCCTTAATCCCTGGCTTCATCCTGCGTAGGACAGGCTTCCTTCCGTCACGCGTGTCCAGCTTAATGCAGCCGGCCACAGCGTGGAGGAGACGGCTGCTTTCTGATGCCTGATACGTAGGCGGAGTTGATTTTGGTGCCTTTTCTTCGGGGTGGATGCTGAGAATATACCTCTCCTCAGCCAATTTCCTTGAAATCTGCAGGACTTTGATACTTTAACCAAATTAAATGGGGTGCTTGGGTTTGTTTCTGAGGTGCTTTTCTCCCTGGCCCTCACTTTTCATCTTTGGCCCCCTTTGCATATTCACGCTGCCTGTGCTCTGCCTTGTGGTGGTGGGCATGCAGGGTGGGAGGCTGAAATTAGCCCAAACCATCTCAGCAATAAAGACCAGTTTGCAAACAAAATAAATACAGAAACTCTCCAAGCCTATGTTTCTTCTACAAGTGCCTAAGGATGTTTCTAATCAGATGTGTGATAAAAAGGAGAGAGTCCCTCATGCTTGTCAGAATAGTTGAAGTTTTCGCCAATCCTTTCTGCTCCCTGAATCTCATCAGCTAATAATAATGAATAACTGAAAATTAATTCCTTAATTTAAGAGCCCTGAAAGGGCCCCGTCTGTGGGGTGGCACTGAGTCCTGCCCACAGAAACCAGAATTTCTTTGAAGCCGCCTTAAATTAGAGGCTGAAGTCAGGGTGCAGGCACGGGGTCTCTTTCTCGGGACTCTGAGAGCTGCTGGCTCTTTGTCAATCGGTTGTAGCGGGAGTCAGTTGATACCTGGTGATACCAGATGAAGCCTGCGGCTTTCACAAGGCAAACCAAGCCATTCTGGGGAGCTTTTGTGGATTTGCGGTGGATGATGCTCAGATCTGGGCTCGCTGCTGCCCACCCAGGCAAGGCAGCGAACTCCTGTATTTGTGTAAGACACAGTGCTGGTCTCGCAGCTTCGCTTCACTTTTCTCCTTCCTGTTGGGGTTTGTGACCTGTGCTGTGGGACTCCCAGGTCAGGAGGAGAGTCAGCCACCTCCATCCTCCTGCGTCACCCCATCACGGCAGTGCCTCTGCAGGCTGCAGACCCTGCTGCACTGACCGGACCAGCTGCGGGACCCCGGGGCTGCCTGTCTGCCTGCTCTTCCCCGCCGTCCGGCGTGAGGAGCTCGCAGCGTCGCTGCGTCGGGCTGCTCCGTTGCTCATCTCTGTTTGCCGGGGCTTTTCTGGGCTTGCAGGCTCCCAGAAGTCTTTACAGCTTTCCCCGTCTCGGCTCTGCTCCCTGTTCCTCCGAGAGGCACCTTCTGCTCGCGCTGCCTCTGTCCTCTCCGGCTGTGTTTGCAGCGAGCTGTCGTGTAGCTGTGGTAGCTGTGGGTTCGGGACTCTCCGTCTGCGCTGTGACATCTTCCTCTGCTCACACCCTGCCAACAGCAGCGCAGTGGCCGCAAGCAGCTGCTGCGTGACACCCGTGGGTGCTTTCCCTCTGTGCACCCTGTCTTCTCCAGCTGGCACAGCCAGGAGCGGGGCTGGTGAGAGCTGTGGGAGGAGGGCTGGGGGTCCCGAATCCTGTTTCGCTGGAGCTGTGACTCCCCTTTCCTGGGGCGTAGGACCACACAAGAGCATTTGTTTGAAGGAGTCTGTTTTCAGCACGTCTTTGCAGAAGGCATCAGGGTGCAAACCTTGGTGGTGCAGGGTGACAAGGTGAGGTCCAAAGAGGTGCCCTGGGTATGGGCAGGGAATCGAGCAAGTTGGAGGCTGGCTGTAGGGCAGTGTTTTCTCTTAATCTCTGCTTCCATTGCATGACCTCCCGACTTCACGACCTCAAAACCTGCAGTGCCGCCTCTGAGCTCCTGGCAGGGCTTTTCTCCGCACTGTCCATCATGCCACGGAGCCCTGGCTTGAAGAAGAACCTGTGCCCAGCACTGTGCAAATACTGACTGAAAAGCCTCCCAAGAGGGCTGCTACCCAGTAACTAGTCCAGGTACCTCCAGTGCACCAGGAGAGGGTTGGCGTTGCTGCTTTTCAAGGGAGAATTGTAGGTGTTCAGGAACAAGCTCGAGGCAATTCCCCCGTGTTGGGGAAGAGATACCGTCTTTAACGACACACGAGAACCACCACTTAAAAAATATTTTCTTAATTGTGCATCTTGCGACCCAGGCAGGAGCATCCATCTCCATCAAGCGTCCTTCGGGAGAGCACAGGGGTACAGAAGTGGGTGGCTCTCTGGAGAAGGAAAGGTCTCAGTGTTTTTGCTCTCTGGTGAAGCTTGCTCCTGTGTTTGTTGAAGGCAGGAGCTTTAAGGACCGTACCTAATCCACGCTGCTCGTGGGGTAGTCGCACATGATCCATTTCCACACTTTCCATCGTGGTTTTGCCAACCTGTAGGAGACAGCAGGTCACTGCTCCACCCCAGCGACCCAGAGGACACTTGGGGAAAGAGAAACTGTTTAGCAAGAGCAGAGCAGGCTCTCTCTTCTCTCCTGCCACAGTTTGGGCACAGGGGAGCCCTGTGAGGTGAAGACCTCGCGTTTCCGGGGGACGCACCAAACCCCCACTGCTATGGCTGGACACTCTGACCCCTTCCCTCTTTGCTCTGTCCCCAGTAAAGGTGCAGTGCAGGCTGTTCAGGCCCAGAGCCAGATCTGCGTCCTTGACATCGACATCCAGGGCGTGAAGAACATCAAGAGGACGGACCTGAACCCCATCTACATCTTCGTGCAGCCTCCGTCCATAGACATCTTGGTGAGCGACCGCCTTCCTTTGCCGTTAGGCAGTTAGAGGTAATCAGCCTCTCGCTCTGAAGCGATGGGGGTTCCCCCCTCTTTGATTCATCTGTATGGTTTTTAAGGGCTGTAGAATAGGGTGGGAGGATGTTTCTGAGCACACTGTTACCTCTGCCCGGTCTAACTCCCCGGCCTCTAGTTCCCAAGGATAAATCTCCCTGTGCCCTGTTTTTTGAGTCCCTCCTGTACAGCTTCTGCACCTCAGCGTGTTTGCCTGCGTTGGGTTATAGGCTCTGTTGCAGCGTGGCCAGCCTTGAAAGGCATTAGTTGTGCTTATGCTGGAGAGAGAAGGAGACTTTTGTGCTGAGACTTGCCTCCAGATATTAAACTTAAACCGAGAGAGGCTGGTTCTCTGCAGCACCAGAAATCCTAGACCCCTCTGGTCTTACGGGGCCCTATATAATATCGTAGTGTGCCTCTGGGAGAAGTGAAATCGCTGTCATGGTTCTGGGAGGGGTGCAGACATGTACATGCAACTTGCTGAAGCCACGCAAGGAGCGCGGGGCAGAGACGCCCGTGACTCTTGGCTCTCCCCTCTTGCTCTCAGCAGATCAGGCAGTCTCTGTTTCTCGTTGAGTTTGTGGAGGAGGAAGCCAACAGCACCAGATGCCAGAGCCCAGCAGAGAGATCTCATCTCCCAGCAGTACCTGCAAAAAAATAAATACATACAGGGGGCGGGAAAGAGACTGGGAACCTGAGCTCTGGGGAGGAGATCTTGAGCCGAAACCCGGCTTGGCCACTGGTTTGCTCTGGGCTGTGGATGAGGCCCCTCACCCTTTGCAGCGTGTTACCTCGCGTGCCCGTGGTCACCGGCGGTAGCAAATGGCAGACGGCACCGGCTTGTGGGGTGGGTGGTGGTTTCTGCGTGCAGCATTTGGAACACGCGTTTCCTTAATATGTTTGTCATTGGATTTAGGAAAAAAGACTACGTGACCGAAAGACTGAGACGGAAGACAGTTTACTGAAGCGTTTGACTGCGGCCCGCGTAGATTTGGAACTCAGTAAGTCCAGGGGCCTTCAAGTGACGTGTGCAGGGAGAGGGGATGTGCTGGTGATTTAGGAGCTGGTTTTTGCGTGAGCGTTCTCCGAGGAGTGCTGGCAGGGCTTGGACGTTAGCGGGGTTTGATCTGAGCGCCATGCTGCGTCGTTTCCCGCTGCAGTTCCTCGTGGGCCGTTGGCAGAGAAGCGCATTATCAGTGGCTGAAATAATATTATTAAAATGCCACAGGAACTCGGGTCATGCACGAGAGATGACACAGAGAAGGAACATGTTCTCCTCTAACTCCTCTGTCCTCACCTCCTTCCCTAGGTAAAGAGCCTGGCCTGTTTGACTTGGTCATTATTAACGATGATTTAGAAAAAGCCTATTCCGAGCTGAAGGAGGCACTCCTGGAGGTGAGTCGTTCGGGGCTTTTCTGCCTCGCTCCCCGGGCAGGCGTGACATCTAGGCTGAGCAGGTGAGGGCCTGTCCGTAGGCAGCCGCAGAAATGTGACCTCATGCCCGCGCTCGATGTGTTTCGAGCTGCTGAGTGACATGGTTGAGCACAGATCGCGTATGAGCGATGATGGATCAGCGGCCTAAGAGTGGGAAACGGATCCGGCGTGGTACTGGGTTAGGGGCAAAATAAGCATACATCGCTGGGCAGCACGGAAGGGGTGTGCTATTTCTGAAGAGCCTCTAGGTCAAACCTTGCCTTGTCCCTAAAGACTCCTGCGTAAGCTCCGGGCTTGGGCCTGTGGTGCTGCGGAGCTGGTCTGAGGAGGTGATCGCTCGCGGTCTCCAGAGCTGTGAAACTGAGTTGTTCCCGAAGAGCGGCAGATGCTCAGTTGTTTTCCTGATCTCCTTGCAGGAAATCGAGAAGACCCAAGAATCCAGGAAGTCCTGAGCTGAGCCTGCTTGGACGTTTTAACTTTGCACATCCTTCCTGAAGCACGTCACACCACTTTATTCCGAGAGACATTCCCTTTAGGCTGA